ATAAACCAGATTCAAGTGCCATGTCCATATTCTTTGTTCATTGCTGCATATGTTTTGGAAGTGGGAAAAGCTTTACTGAAAGTGTGCAGAAAGGATGAAATGTACTTCCTAGGGCAGRTCCAATTAGCAGCAGTTTCTCTAACAAATTTATGGCATTTATTTATTTTTTGGCCTTTAAGACTTCGTTCTACTGGGAAATCTCTGACTCATGTACAATACAAGTATAGTCCAGCAGGGTGGAGTCATTGGTAAGAGGTCATTAAGCAAAACATTCCTTCAAGTTGCTGCTGTAAAATTGGGTGGTTCAATTCAAAACACAGCACAAAATGGCCATTACCTGCATTAGCCAGATTCTCTGTCTGGAATTACTTAGTTCTTCCTAATCTTCCTCTGCAGATTGCTAGCCACACTGGGGAAATGAAAATTCCATTTAAAGGGAATTGGTCTGTTCCACCCAAGGGTCAAACAGCAGCTTGGCCCAGAGCCTTGTCCTCGGTCCAGCCCCTCTTCCTCTACTCCTCAGCAGCCAGAATTRTGATTGTCCTTGCACTGGGGCCTCAGTCTGCCTCCCTCAAGGCCAGGGAAGAGTCCCCAACTCTGTACATCCACTGAGCACTATCCTTGATTAATTAATCCAGGCACACAAATCCCAAAAGGTCTTGGTATTTTGGGAAGGCAAATGGTGTCTTACAAAGTCAACTGAGATCAAGCTGGATTTGTCAGTTGTACATAGATGCCCCAGCAATTCAAAGGGATTGATCTGATATTTTTGGTGATGAAAACAACCAGACACGTGCTGTTTGAGCATGTCAGAAAAGCTTCCAGGGGAAATGTGAACAGAGGGGAGGAGAAGATGCCGGATTTCCAACGAAGGAAGAGCCAGTGAAGAAGTAAGTAGCTGTAGATAGCAAGGTGTAATCTAGTAAATCCTCTGAATAACTTAATTAGATTTGATTCAGCAAAACACATGTCCAGCTTCTGCTGAACACCAGCCAGTGTTGAGGGGGCAGGGAGCAGGAGGGGCTTCCATGAATCCTGTAGGAAACAGCTATTGCAGAGATTAAAGGAATTGGGCAGAAGAGGTACTGAGACATTCCTGAAGTCTTGATGAAGATTTTTAACCTAAAGGTGCCAGATTTGCTGAYGCTGCCAGAGAATCAAAAGTATCATGAAACTGGCTATGGGAAAGGGGCAAAGAGTTTCATCACAAGATGTTGGTAAAAGTGAGGAAGCTGTAGCCCAGTTAGGCTTTGCCCATCTCTCTTCCTTCCCCACTCCCCATTCCCTGTGAACTTTGCACTTGAGGCATAAGGAAAAAGTAGAAACGCCACTGAATTCATGTGAGAATGCACTGTTCTTTTATGTGGCATCAAAGATACAATKCAATTTGATACAGTTATCTGGGTTTTATCCTGTTTTAGTTTTGCTGTCAGGCTCCAGGTTGCTGTAACTCAGCATAGGTCCATTTTGGAACCAGCTGGAGGTCTGGTGGGCGTAATTGCATTGCTGCCTGTACAATTCTTGCCTTGCATCAAGGTGAAAAAGAGACGCATCTCCACTGAATTGCAAAAGTTTTGGAAAATTGCTAGAGAAACAAGAACATCTCTGTGAAAACTAAGGTTGTAGAAAGCCTCTCTCTTCACTTCTTGTTTTTAAAGGGTAGCTTTCCCCACTTGTGCCAGATCATTTGGCTCTTCTTCATCATTCTTGCTTCATAATGCTTGGATCAGCTTTTCAGTGGGCAGTGCTTTTTGTTGGGACTGTCAAGAGGTGATGTCAAGAGCAGGATGGATTTTCTGTCTTCCTCTAGCTGTCTTGCTGGCTGGCTGTGCTTTTTGCCTCTTCTGCATTTTGTCTGCTCATCTTTGTGTTTTACTCTGCTTTTTCTTATCTTCCCCAGTTCTAGCTCTTTCTGCCCGTTTTTGGACAATCTTTTGTTCACTTTTTGCCAAGTTCCATTCTTTGAGCTGAGGATGTTCAGAAACTGGAACTGGTYCTCAGGCATACACAATCCAATTTATTATGGATGCCAACAATACATTTTCATCATGACACTTTGAAGATGTTTATTTCAATTTGCTTAAAATGTACCTAGGTCAAATCCTGTATGTGTATACAAACTTAACAGCAAAATGAGACGTACCTCATCATTTAAGATTTGTTTGCTCAATATTGGATCCTGTACAGACTTGCAGATATCTTCTCTATTGAAGAGTTGATATCAGCTTAGGTTTATTTTAAATTTGTCTGCTTGTAAGCTTCTCATTATGATAATATGTGAGCATCTCAGAGGCAGGTGGTTAGATAAGAAACACTCTTACCCTTATTTAGGAGATAAGTGACMTGCTGATGGTCACTTAATCACAGAAGTTTGCAGCAGAGCTTGTGGTTCAGCTGTAGCTTCTGAGGAGTGCCTGGGAGCTGGCTGTGATCTGTGCAGGGCTGGCAGCCTGGTGTCTCACCGGGGAGCAGCAGAGTGCATGTGAATAAACTGAGAGCGTGCTGCGGTCTCCCAGGATTTGATCAGGAATGACATGACTTTAGTCCCTGCCGCAGGCACTGTCACCCAGCTCGGGGAAGTGAGATGTATATGAAGAAAGGAAATAGTTTGGCCTGTGAAATGATCTATAGCTCAGGGGATGGTTCCAARGCCAGAACCCAAGGATTTCAGTCCCGGTTCTTTCTCTGCCAGCAGTTGGTGTTTCAGTGCACTTCAGCAGCTGTGTGAGTGCAGAGAGCTTTGTGCTGCAACCTTGGGGTGCAGCCAGAGCTCACAGAGAGCTTTCCCAAAGTCATTACAGGCAGAGCTGGGAGCAAGCATTCCGTGTACAATGGTGACAAKTATCCAATCTCAGGCTTTGAGAAGRAAAAGARAAAATTCGGGACTACTTTGGTCCCCTGTGTCACCCATCCCAAGTCGTTCTGTAGCAGCCAGACCAAATTAAAGGTTTATGACTCTGCCTTTATTCTTTATCAAGTACTTTGTCTCTTTGGAGTTTGCATTCCTGGAGTTCATTCTCCTCAACAGACCCAGATGAGACTGTTGTGACCCATGTTTCTGCAAGTATTTGATTGTCCCTCTTTGATTTTTTGAGGAGGAAAGCCACGATCCTGGTGTTTCTCTTGTCGTGGCAATATAGGTACAGATTCCTCTGCTGCTTGTTTTTTGCTGTTATTGTAGCCAGAGTAGTTAGATGAGATCTCTGACTTGTCTTCAAGTGATATGTTCAAAGCCTCAGAAGAAGAAAGGGCTATGGCTGTAAAAATAAAATAAATCCACAGGATTGTGGCCACAGGGTTGGCATAACCTGATGCCACATAACCTACTTGGTAACTCTTAAGTGTGCAATACTTTTGCATTTACAAAAGAGCTCTCAGTTAAAAACAGGGTAGATCAGACTTCATTCGTGGCAGATTTTCCCCCACATATCTCAGGATCAAGACTATTTTCTCCAGAAAGCTGCCAAGGAAAGCTCCAAGCTGAGGTGTTCCAAGTTTTTGGGACTCTGTAAGCYTTGGGTTTCTAAACTGTGCATCACTGAGTGATGATGCAAGAAGTCAAAAGGCACAATGTCATCTGTGAAAGAATTAAGATTTGGACTGTATGGGGTGTATGTGACTCATATCCTTTAACTTTTGGTGGTAATGATGTGTAACCTTAGTCATGATCTTCATTACAAAATTCTCCCTGTCTTTGCAGTTAGATCCACCTAATCTGCTTTGTCGTATCTCGTGGATGAATCTAATTAGGAAGATTTAATAGGAAATCATTAGGTGATTTCATAGGAAGGCAACAACTTTTCTCTACTGCCATCCTCCCACTCCCCGGGGCTCCTACTTTGCAGTCACTTCTCCCTTACTCCTTCCTCAGCAGAACGAGCAGTTCTGAAGCAATGAGATGACCAACACCAGTTTCCCATGTATTGTGTCATGTTTGGGTGACTGACTAGTCCAAAAGGTACAATCTGATAAATTTTAATAGGTTTTTGGGGGGCACAGTGATGAATTTCTGTGTGGGGTTTCTGCTCTCTTGTAGGGTGGAAGCCCACACAAGTGCTCCAGTTGAGGCATCGGCAGATTCCCTCCCTTTTTTTTTCCACAGAAAACAAATGCCCTCCAAAGGCTCAGGAGTGATCGTTGGGTCTTCTGTCTGTTGTGAAATAAGTTAGATGCTGGCCAAAAGCCTGCAAGCTCATTTGGAGGAAGCACACAGGCATTGCATTGACACACAGGTGATCACAGATGTCTCAGTTCTGTGGGAAGCAGCTTAAAACACGGCTGGCAGAGCTGCGGAGCACCAGTTTCAAGAGCTGGCAGGCTGTTGTAGGAACTAAACTCCAAAAYTGAGAATCTGTCGTAGAAAATTGCCTCTCCTCCCAATCTGCTCTTGAAGGGGCACTTTTAGCCTCTCCAGGACCTTGCTGGGACTCTCCAGCTCTCAGTCGAACTGCTCTCTCCTCGCCGGTCTAAGTGTGGAACGRTTTAAGCTGTTTTCCCACCACGCTGGGGGAACTCGGGCTCCCCAGGTTCAGCACCCCGACCACGCCGCAGACAAAGAGGRGCTCGGTGCGCGCTGTCAGCGCGTCCTTCCCGCAGGACGGCGTGCGGCCCCGAGCGCTGTGCGCGGCCTGCCCGGCCGGGGCCGCGCTCGGGGATGCTCCGGGCG